TTTGTCTTGGGAATTTCTACCCCTGAAAATTGCTTGAGTTTCGCTGACTGTGACATCAGAAAGTTTTGTTTTTTGCTTTTTTTTTTTTTGAGACATAGTCTTGCTCTGTTGCCCAAGCTGGAGTGCAGTGGCATGATCTCAGCTCACTACAACCTCCACCGCCCGGTTCAAGCAATTCTCCTGCCTCAGCCTCCGGAGTAGCTGGGATTACAGGCGCCTACCACCATGCCCGGCTAATTTTTGTATTTTTAGTAGAGACAAGGTTTCACCATGTTGGCCAAGCTAGTCTTAAACTCGTGACCTCAGGTGATCCACCCGCCTTGGCCTCCCAAAGTGCTGGGATCGCAGGTGCATTTCTTCCATCTCTCCTGTTTCATAAATGTTATACACACGACACTTCTCTGATATCCTTGGAAGTGTTTGTATTGTGTCATTCTGGCACATGGCTCTGTTTCATTGTGGTAAAATATGCATGACATAAAAGTTACCATTTTAACCTTTTTTAGCTCTGTCACCCAGCTGGAGTGCAGTGACGCGATTTCGGCTCACTGCAGCCTCTTCCTCCCGGGTTCAAATGATTCTCCTGCCTCAGTCTCCTGAATACAGGTGGGATTACAGGTGTCCCACCGCCATGCCTGGCTGATTTTGTATTTTTAGTAGAGACAGGGTTTCACCATGTTGGCCAGGCTGCTGTCAAACTTCCAACCTCAGGTGATCCGCCTGCCTCAGCCTCCCAAGTGCTGGGATTATAGGTGTGAGCCACCGCACCTGGCCTATTTTAACCATTTTTTAGGTGCCCAGCTCCGTGGCATTAAGTATATTCACAGTGTTATGCAACCATCACCACCACCTGGCTCCAGAATGTTTTTGTCTTTCCAAACGGAAATTCTGTACCCACTGAACAATAACCGCCCCCATTCCCCAGTTTGCCTCCAATCCCCTGACATGGAGGCTGGGCCAACGGATTTCCGGCCTCCCTCCAGACTGCTCCAGATTCGCCCCTGTTCTTCTCCCTCTTTGTCCCGTCAGCAAAGAAATGGCGTCTTTTCATCTTCAAGGTCCATCCCTTGCTCCTTGAATGGTCTCCAGGCCCAGTGGAACTGGCATTCTATGGGGTGCATGGACAGAGTCCCTAGAGAACGCCCAGGGCACAGAACTCAGACTGGGCGTTTGGAGAAGGTGTCCGAGAGGAAGTGACATCTAAGCCGAGGCTTACAGATAAGAGAAATCAAGCAGATGAAAGGGCTGGGGACGGTGGCATTTCAGGCTGACACAACCAAACACATGTTCTTCGTTATCTCCATGTCTTGCTGCCTACCCGGTATCAACCGGCCACCGCTCCCCTAGAACTGCTTCCAAAGTCACTTCTGGCCTCCTCCTCACCAGATCTTGTCTTCACTTGGTGCTCAGAGCCCATCACCTTTCTGCAAGTGTTTTTTGTTTTGTTTTGTTTTGTTCGAGATGGAGTCTCACTCTGTCACCTGGGCTGGAGTGCAGTGGTTCAGTGACAGTTCACGGCAAACTTGAATTCCTGGGCTCAAGATCCTCCTGCCATACCTTCCCAAAGTGCTGAGATTACAGCACAAGCCACCATGCCTGGCCCTTGCTGCAACATTTTTTTTTTTTTTTTTTTTTTTGAGACAGTCTTGCTCTGTTGCCCAGGCTGGAGTGCAGTGGTGCAATCTTGGCTCACTGCAACCTCCACGTCCTGGGTTCAAGTGAATCTCCTACCTCAGCCTCCTAAATAGCTGGGATCACAGGCACTCACTACCGCACCTGGCTAATTTTTTGTATTTTTAGTAGAGACGTGGTTTCACCGTGTTGATCAGGCTGGACTCAAACCCCTGACCTTATGATCCGCCCACCTCAGCCTTCCAAAGTGCTAGGATTACAGGCATGAGCCACCATGCCTGGCCATTTGCTACAACTTTCGATTCTGCTGCCCTGCTTTTTTTCCCCTTCCTGACCTCCTTTCCCTGCCATCCTTTCATTCCTTCCTCTGCCACCGAAGTGTCCTTCTCAGGTCCTTCTCAAGGTTGTGACCTCGCTGCTGTCTCTTCCCTTCCAGTCACTTCTTTCATAATCACCTTGACATCCTCACTTTTATCTCCTGCCCTGACCTCTCCTGGGGACCGGGACCATCAGCTCCCATGGGCATCTCAAGCTTGTGTGTGAGCCTGGCTCTGCTGTCTTCTCCATCGTCTCTTCACAGCTTGCTCTGCATTTGACCTCCCTTCACGTCTCCCCCAGTGATCACATCTCTACAGTGGCTCTCGCTTCATCCCCTCCTCTCCTGGAGGAGTGGTGTGGAATCTCACTAATCCTTGCTGACGTCATTCTCCCTGCTTCTCCGTCGTCTCTGTACTGTCTCATTCCCCCACGCGTCCTACACTGTAGCCAGGCGGGTATTTCCTGCGTGGGTCTCAGACATCTCTGAGGATGCGCTGCTTCAGACGAGAGCTACTCGGTGACTCCCTGTTCCCTGAAATGACGTCCCGCTCCTTGGACAGGCTTCAGCCTCTTCACCTGTCTCAGCTCCTTTTTGTTTTGCTTGTTTTTCTTAGCTTCCAGCCAGATTTCTGAGTCCTTCTCCCTCTTGCCCCTCTCGTTGCCTTTGCTTAAGACTAAATGCCCCTTCCTCCCGGGTCCCCACTGCTCGGATTTCAGCAGGGTCCATCTCAAACAGGCCTGTCTCCAAGAAACTGCCTCTGATTTTTTTTCAGCAGAAGACACCTTTCCTCTCTGACTTCATCTGTAACCCCCTCTTGGAATTCACTATCTTGTGCCTTGGATTTTAGTCCTTTAAGTGGTTGTTATTTCCCCAGCATATCTTGAGGTCAAGGCTTAAGGTACTTTTATCTTTGTCTATACATTGCAGTATGGGGGCTTTTACGTATTAGCTGCTCAATAAATAGATGTTGAATAAAGGCATGCGTATGATTTCAGTAAGACTATAAAAGCTACAAAAATTGGTGTTTTCCTTTTTCACTCTTAGAAAACAAACCTATAAAGTAGCACAAGTCAGAGCCAAGAGCAAAGATCTTGCATATTAATCTAAATTCTGTCTTTATCAGCTTTCACAAGTAACTCGTATTCTCTGTCTGCATCACGGGGCTGATTATGGCCAGACATTGACTTTGGTAAAATTCTCTCCAGTTTATGAGAAATCAAGTCAAATATGCCAAGTAACGTAGTTTCTACTCAGAGTCACGTTCGTGTTTTAGCAGGAACCTCAAAGAACACAAAATCTGTCAAGTTCAAACATTCGTATTTCTCGACAGTACCTGAAGTTCCCGTTTCTGTTTCCTCAGCCCAAGTTTCCAATTCAGTGAGCAGAACGACTGTGTTGATAAAAAGAGGCCACATACCTGCCCGACCTGCAGGAGTACTGCCGATGCGGAAAGGCAGGTCTCCGCATGACCTGCGGAGTAATGACGAGGGTCCCTAACATCGAGGGCTTCCGGGTTCAGCCTTGAGCAAAACGAAACGTTGCATAGAGAGAGATTTATATCCATTCCGAGACTCACTGTAATTCTCTCTTTCTGTCTCTTCATGTGTTTCTCTCTTTCTCTCTCACGTTCTCTGACACACACACACACACACACACACACACACACACTAAGTGTAAGACTGTCTATACGTTGCGGTTTCCCACACTCTTAACTGAGTAAGGGGAAGGTGAGAAGAGAGTACAACTTCAACTAAATGAAAAGAAATTGTATGAACAATGGCAAGCAGGTTGGTTTTCAGTTCCAGTTAAGATAAGAAACATTTAGATTACTGAGGAGAAAAGTCAGGCTGGTAAGACACGGGAATGTGCCTGTGTGCAAATTAAAAAAAATCTGGGCTTGAAGGTGAAGGTATGTATACTGCTAAGACATGGGGATGGATGAGCTTGGGATGAGGAGAAAGGCTTCTCTGAGTAGATTTAGAGATTCTTTAAAATGCTTAAAACACATTGACACCACGGAGTTAGCACATCTTTTCAGGTGAAACTCTCAGACCCAAGAAAATAGAGATACCTTAGAGCTGAGCTAATTCCACAGCCACCTCAATACACAAATGGGGAATCTGAGACCAGCATTGGCACCATGCCTGACTCATTTCTTCAGTAATGTGGATGGAGGGCGTGACATTAGCTGATGAGAAAGATTTTGGTTGTAGAAAGATGGGGTTAACGTAAATGAAGGTATACTGGGCCTGGTCTCCACTGCTGACTTCATGGGATCACGCACACACACGCCCCCACTCCAAGATCAGAGTAAACCCCCCACATCCCTGTAGCATGGCCCTGATTGTAAAAATAGAGCCCCAAGCAGAAGGGCAGAAACATGATGCCTCTCACGAGATTTGGACACCACTTTTTCACAGTTTGTTTTAGCTGCTTTGCAATATGTACTGAAATAAATAGAAAAGGGAAAGAATTGTAGTAACCTGGGCTGACAGACAGCAAGCCCAGCAAAAAGCAGATAAGAAATAAAATGAGGAAGATAACCCATAATGTAAAATAAAAATAGTGCATTGTTGCAAGCACTGATACCCTTTTTTTTTTCTTTGAGAATTTGCTCTTTCTTCCAGGCTGAAGTACAGTGGCTCAATCATAGCTCACTGCAGCCTCCAACTCCTGGGCTCAAGCGATCCTCCCATCTCAGCCACCCAAGTAGTTGGGGCTGCAGGCACCAGCTACGGTGCCCAGCTGATGATTTTTGAAAATAGGGACACTAGCGTATTCAGCAAATTTGAGTGTCTACTGTGCATCAAGCACTGTTCTGGGCCCTGGGAGAGCACAGGGAGCAAAAAAGCAAGAGCCCCTGTGCTCAGGTGCTCGGATTCTAGAGGAGGTGCTGGGCTCACCTCCCACGGATACCGTTCTGAAGATCCGGTGCCTCCACCCACCCCAGCCCCTGGGTTTTAATGAAAATTCAACTAAGTTGGAAAATGGATAATATCTCCATTCACATAGGATATGATTTTAATGACGGTTGCTTTTTGGTTTTTAGGGAGAAGAAAATGGCTTTCCAGATAGCACTGCAGATCCCCTTCCAGGTAAATGATTGATTCTAAAGATATCTGGGCTGATAGCTAGTGTGGCTAGATTAAAGATAATCTGAGGCCGGTGTGGTGGCTCACACCTATAATTCCAGCACTTTGGGAGGCCAAGGTGGGTTGATTATCTGAGGTCAGGAGTTCAAGACCAGCTTGGCCAGCGTGGTGAAATTCTGTCTCTACTAAAAATACAGAAATTAGTCAGGCATGCTGGTGTGTGTCTATAATCCCAGCTACTAATGAGGCTGAGGCAAGAGAATCGCTTGAACCTGGAAGGCAAAGGTTGCAGTGAGCCAAGATTGTGCCACTGCCCTCTCCAGCCTGGGTAACAGAGTGAGACTCCATCTCAAAAAAATAAAATAAAATAAAAAACATAATTTGAGACTATGCTTATCATTAACTTTTGAAATCTATTCTGCAGAATAGAGCAACTTTCTACCCATGGTGAACTGCAGGGAAAGTTGTATCTTACAAAACTTCACAAAAGCCTTCAAAGAGTGTTTTCTTGGTGCTAACTTTACTTCGCATGTACAGCAGGGTTCTGAATGGGGCAGGTTTAGGATCAGGCCAGTCAGGACTGAGCAGATTATCCTTCCCTCTGAGTTCCTTTTATTTATTTATTTTTTTTTCTGAGATAGAGTCTCACTCTGTCACCCAGGCCAGAGTGCAGTGGCGTGATCTCAGCTCACTGCAACCTCCGCCTCCCAGGTTCAAGCAATTCTCCTGCCTCAGCCTCCTGAGTAGCTAGAATTACAGGCATGCACCACTCACTCCCGGCTAATTTTTGCATTTTTAGTAGAGACAGAGTTTCATCATGTTGTCCAGGCTGGTCTTGAACTCCTGACCTCATGATCTACCCACCTTGGCCTCCCAAAGTGCTGGGATTACCGGGGTGAGCCTCCACACCTGGCCTTCTTCCCTCTGAGTTCTAAGAGCTGTAGCATTGGTGGAGAATGTGCTGTTTGTTGCTTGGTGGAAGGGACCAGTAGCCAGCTGGGTCATCTCTCTCCATGTGCCTTCGGCACTTAGGTAGTCAAAGCAGCCCTCCTGACATTAGGTCAGGCGTCAGTCCTGCCCTTTTCTGCTTTTAGTGTGTTTCAGCAAGGAAACATTAAAGTTTATTTTCCCCCTCCCCCTTTTTTAATCATAACACAGACATTTTTGCAATGTTTAAATTTCTCATTAATTAATTAGAGAGGATAGGGAGTGAGGGAGCAAGCATTGAAATAATCTGGCAATGGCCAGATATGGTGGCTTGCACCTGTAATCCCAGCACTTTGGGAGGCCAAGGTGGGCAGATCATGAGGTCAGGAGTTCGAGACCAGGCTGGCCAACATGGCGAAACTCCGTCTCTACTAAAATTACAAAAATTAGCCCAGCATGGTGACAGGCACCTGTCATCCAAGCTACTTGGGAGGCTGAGGATGGAAAATCACTTGAACCTGGAGGCAGAGGTTGCAGTGAGCCAAGATTGCACCATTTCACTCCAGCCTGGGCGACAGAGCAAGACTCCGTCTCAAAAAAAAGCTAGCAAAATAATAATAGTAATAAAACCCATACCTCACCAACATTTTCTACATCTTTTAAACCATACATTGACTGACTGGAGTCACCAGAGTTTCGTTTGTTTCTTTCTTAAGCAGGATGGGGGACCCCTAGAGCCCTTGGGGGCAGCTGTCATCAGCCCAGGTGACCAAACTGCAAAACCAGAACAGGCAGTGCATACTCCACATTTTTCTCCTTAGAAACATGATATCTGAAAATACACCAATGCCAACATGTGGGCACTGGTTATCTCTGGAGGGTGCCGTTCCAGCTGATTTTTTTTTTATTCCATAGATTTTTTTTTTTTTTTTTTTTTTTGAGATGCAGTTTCGCACTCTTATCGCCCACACTGGAGTGCAATAGCACACCACTACGCCAGCTAAATGTATTTTTAGTAGAGAAGGGGTTTCACTATGTTGGCCAGACTGGTCTAGAACTCCTGACCCCAGGTGATCCAACTGCCTTGGCCTCCCAAAGTGCTGGGATTACAGGTGTCTCACTTCACTGTTGCCCAAGCTAGTCTCGAACTTCTGAGCTCAAGCCATCCTCCCACCTCATCCTCCCAACATGCTGGGATTACAGGCATGAGCCACCACACCTGGTGAGTTTTCGTTTTCTTTCCACTATCCTATATTTCTAAAATTTCTAACATGAGGTGGTATCAGAACTGCCCCTCCGCATTTAATCTGTGTATACAAATGTATATATAACAAATGTGTGTGTTTAATCTAGATATACAAACACACATATAACAAATGATCACATATTGGTAAGTATACCTTGCTGCATGGTGAAGTAACCAAGGAAATTTCTAAAAGGTTAACTGTGGCCGGTCTGGGTAGTGGGAGCATTAATTTTTTCCATATGCTCATCTGAATTTTCAGATTTGCTATGACAAGCACATGTTTATTTTCTAATTTTAAAAATAGGTATTTAAACTCTTTAAAGATTAACACCCACACATTCATGTGTCAGGTTAGCTAAAATAGAAATGAATACAGAAATTTGTTTAGAAATATTTATAAACCCTTCAAGGATTCTTCTGAATGAAGGTCATTGTTAATTAGTAGATTAATTTTAATCAGGCTTCTTGTCATCTTCAAATATTTTTTACTTGTGTCAAAATGAACCACCAGAGTTTTGTTTCTTTTTTAGACAGAGTTTTTGCTCTTGTTGCCCAGGCTGGAGTGCAATGGCACGATCTCATCTCACTGCAACCTCTGCCTCCTGGGTTCAATCGAGTCTCCTGCCTCAGCCTCCCAAGTAGCTGAGATTACAGGCATGCGCCACCACACCCAGCTAATTTTGTATTTTTAGTAGAGATGGGGTTTCACCATGTTGGTCAGGCTGGTCTCGAACTCCCGACCTCAGGTGATCCACCCGCCTTGTCCTCTCAAAGTGCTGGGATTACAGGCGTGAGCCACTGCACCCAGCCTAAGTTTTAAAAAGAATCAACTTTCTCAACAAAGCAGGTAATATGATGATGTGTTGGGAGCCCACCCCTGAGTGCTGAGTTGATACCTTTAGCACCTCACGTGGTACTTGGCACACAAGAACACTCAGGTATTTTGTTTTGTTTTCCGTAAACAAATAGATGAGAGACATGACTTAATGGCTTTGCTCTTAAATGAACAACTGGCAAAAGCAGAGCTACATAGTCCGTCCTCGAATGTGTGTAGCAACTTAAGGAAAATTTGTTTTATTCACAAACACTAATTTGGCACAGAGTGAGTACCAGGCACTCTTCTAAACACTTGACACATGGGAGGTGCTCATGACAGCCCTGTGCATAGGTCTTATTCTTTTCTTCACCTTGTAGATGTGGTGGCTGAAGCCGGATCCTAAACCTGCCCCATTCAGAACGCTGCCAGCCCCTCACATGAAAAGGAAGGTTAAGGTTAGCACAGAAAAATACTCTGAAGGCTTTTGTGAAGTTTTGTAAGATGCAGCTTTCCCTGCAGTTCACCGTGGGTAGAGAGTTGTTCTATTCTGCAGTACAGATTTTAAAAGTGAATGATAAACATAGTCTCAAATTATCTTTTTATTTTACTTTATTGAGATGGAGGAAAATCCACCCTCGCACCCCCAAAAGCCCATCTCTGGCTGCTGGCATACCTTTCCCAAAAGCCTGCCACTTTCCATGGATGAAGCCCTGGGGCCTTAACTCACAGCCTACTTTGCATTTCATTCTCCTCACTGGAAAGCCTTTTCTGTCTGTGATCCAGTCTACAGCTGGTGAAAATCAGCCACGTGGGGAGGTGGAGGCACTGCCTTGGCAGGAGTCTGCAGAGGAGTGGGGGATGACAGCTGGCAGTTTGGAATCGAGGAAAGAGAAAGAACACGATTTGCATTCGACTCTCACCAGGAAAGCAAAGCCGTCCTGGTGGAACCCTCTGAACAGATGCTAGCACCGCTGGGGGCAGAACACAGGGAAAGAAAAGACATTCCTACTCTTACCCTGGGTTAAAACAACAACCACCAATTATGTGTGGCTTATCCTCTTAAAGGAGCCATGAAAACACATTTTCAAAAGGAAAACATGTTGGGCGTTTAAGGAATAAGACTCGTGCGTGTGTGTATGTGTGTATTTAATAGCAATTAGAATTCTGATCTCATTTCTCCATTGTACCCAATAAATCGAAGCATGCTTTTTTTTTTTTTTTTTTTTTTTTTTTTTTGAGACAGAATCTCACTCTCTCATTCAGGCTGGAGTGCAGTGGCGTGATCTAGGCTCACTGCAACCTCCGCCTCCTGGGTTCAAACGATTCTCCTGCCTCAGCCTCCCGAGTGGCTGGGATTGCAGGCACGCACCACCACGCCCAGCTGAGCATAACTATTTTTTAGTTGTTTCTTTTTGGAGACATGGTTTCCCTCTGTCGTCCAAGTGGGAGAACAGTGGTGCAATCATGGCTTCCTGCAGCCTTGAACTCTGGCTCACGTGATCGTCTTGCCTCAGTCTCCTGAGTAGCTGGGACCACAGGCGTGTGCCACCACACCTGGCTAATTTTTAAAATTTTCTGTAGAGACAGGTCTCCCCAAAGGCATCACTCCTATGTTGATAAACTGAACAAATAATTGAAGAAACACCCTGGTTCTGGTACTCCCTTCTAGTGGCAGTGATACGACACTTTTGCACCTGATGCCGGATTTTCAAGGATGACTTTCTGGTGACCTTGAATAATTCAGCACTTGCCTAATCTAACTTTCCCATAGAAATGAATGTAAAATAGGATTTCATATTTTTCAAATTAGGTCCATGAAGTAACATGGTTAATATGTCTGTGTCACATCATTTCAAAACCACATGATTCAAATTCACATAAAATTCTATGCTGAGTTTTAACCTGGGTCCTTTTTTTTTTTTTTTTTTTTTTTGAGACGGAGTTTCGCTGTTGTTGCCAAGGCTAGAGCGCAGTGGTGAGATCTCGCCTCAAGGCAACCTCTGCCTTCTGGGT